ACACTTAAACCACTGCTTTCTGAAAGGCATTATCATGGAATTTCCAAGTGTTTGGGAATGTCTTTTTATATAAAGATATTTATTTTTCAGCGCCTTCCATGGACTTTAATCTTTACAAGAGCTGATGTCCATATTTCCCAGGAAGAACTATCTGATATCAGAAAAAAATGAAAATAGTTATTTATATCATAAAGAGGATGTTTAAAATGTATTTCTTGCTCTTTGTGCCACTCCTCTTAGTTTAATCTCTTCTGCCCTTTTTGTTATACTTGTCTTTTTCACCTTTGTCTTCTCTAATCTGTTGTGTTTCCTCATCTCTCAGATTTCCTTTTCACTGAATCATAGAAAAATAGGACTGGAAAGGACCTGAAGAGGTCATCTAGTCCCTCTGCTCCCCCTAGGCAGGATCAACTGTCCCTATATCATTCTTGACAGATGTTTGTCTAACCTGTTCTTAAAAATCTTCGTTGAGGAGGTTCTCTGGCATCCCTAGGCAACCTAGGCCCCTCTCCTCAGCATTCAAAATGTCTCCCTGATGCAAAACGTTTTCTCCATTTCCCCTTAGTTTCTTTCTCTTTCCTTATCTTATGTAAAATACCTCCTTACTCTATCAGTAATACGCAGTTTTCTGCATGCAGGGAACAATATCCCTGATCTTTTAAGACCTTTAATACAGAACTTCAGCCAACCATCCCAGGCACAGGAACATCCTACATACATGATTTAAAAACCAAATTCAGTCTTGAAGACCTAATTCATTTCTTGTCTCTGTAATTATCAGTCAATACTACCTTCTCTGTTGACAGCAGCAGGTAAAGCTGAGGTCAAAGAAATAAGAATCAGGCCCTTTGAAGTTTTCAGTTTATTCCTATAAAGTATTATGATGCACTTTACTCTTCTCATATTCACCTCATTCCTCAAGCTGTATTGTGCATGCACGCATTCCTGCCAGATACTGATCAGTGTTGCATACAGTCATCATTCTGGCATGTCTACTCTATGCACCTACACAGAATGGCACTTACAGCAACTGCTTCTGTAATTTCTGTGCCTCCTTCTGTCTTTGGATGGAAAATACAAAACAGTCATAAATATAATTCATATCATATGTACGTGTCCAAAATTGGGAAAAGTCAGCTATTGCAAGTTCAAATTGATTCTGTCATCTGGAATCTAATTCATAATCTAATCGTTGTCTCTCCTTAAGGCTATTTCTGGAGTGGAAATTATAGTGGATGAAAAGAGAGAGAGTATTTTAATGCAATTTCATGACATAGATAACTATCATTGTTCTTTAAGCGGGACATTTACAGCTTAACCATCATGTCTGTAAATCAGAGGGGGTGCTGGAAATTATGTAGGGAGTTAGAAATGGAATCCTCCCTCAGTCTCTGGTCAAGCCTTAAGGTGACTCCTCAGCCTCTTCAACCCAATTGCTTGCTTCTCCCTCACAAGCAGTGAGTCATAAACCAACAATCTGTAAATATCCCTTATATATTGCTCTTGCACCTAAGGTTACTGTGTAGGAATACTGGCCATGTTCCTTTTTGCCCAGCTATATTTTGAGAATTTCTAGATTTGCTTAAAAATTTCTGGACTTTCAACAAGAAAACTGCCACGCTTCTGGGTATCCCAGTTAATTCAAAAATATGTTTGCAAATGCAAATTCCTTGTGTGAATTCCTTGCATGCATAACTGGAGAATGCAGAATGCCCTCTCGTTCTGGAGCTTCCTGGAAACTTCAAATTTATTGCGCACATGCTCAGCAGTTCAAGTGTTCAGGGACTTTATGTGTGGCACGGCTGGAAAATGCTGGATTTGCCATCTGCCTGAGTAATACTGATGGGAAATTATTTAGAGTAATAAAAAAATTACGGGAGGAAGGTCAAGGTTCAAGAGATTATCCAGTCCACTCTGTTGTTCTCAGGTGGAGCTACTACTTTCAGCTAATTTGCTCCTAAGTGTTCTCATAGAAATCCACAGATTCCACCAGCAATCTCTGCCAGTGCTTCACTGCCACGTTGGACAGCTTTTCCCAGAAACTAATTTGAACTTTCCAGGTTACTATGTCTCATTCTCTCCAGTATAAAGTGTAAGACAGAATAATTACCTTCTCTTTTCATTAGCGCTGCCTGTATTCGAAGCAGGCATCATATTCCACTCGGCCTTCCCTTCTTTAGATTTACCATGACCAGTTCATGCCAGGTGTCTTCATAAGCCTCAGGAAACTCCCAGGCATTCAGCCACTCTAATTATTCTCCTCTGGCTGGTGTAGATTTTTCTGAAGCCTGGCACCTAGCTGTGGACATGGCACTCCCCTCTGCAGAGGTCTCTCCAGTGCTTAGTAGAAAAGATGCACTTCACGTGCACTGCAAACACCACTCCCACTCCCTCACCTTGGTGTGGGAACTGCCTTGACTTCACTTTTGTAAGACCCCAAGGTTGCAGCTGGCACGTTCAAACTGACAGGGACATTTTGATTCCTAATCCTTGCACCCAGCCTGTCAAAATTCCCTCCCAGCATTGTTATCAGCATGTAAATTTACTGGTGATATTCTCTGCTCCATCACGGAGGTCATTAAGAAAATATTTAGTGCAGAATGAGGCCAGAAGCACCCTGCATGCACATTTCCGTTTCCACAGATATCTATCCTCTCCTAGTTTTTGTTTTCCAGCTACTTTTGCATTCATTCTGCAGCAATTTCACCTAAACTATGTTTCCTTAGGTTTTCAAGAATGTCACACGAGGGAGTGTCAAGACACTTGTAAAGTCAAACCACCTACTGCTTTTTCCCTGTCTGCAAGGCCAATTACCCTGTCTTAGAGGGAGATCAGATTGGTTTGACACAGTTTGTTCCTAACAATCCATGTTGTCCGTTGCTGCCTTGTTTTCTTGTGGGTGCTTACAAATTGTTTGATTATTTTTTTCAGTACTTTTCCGCGGCTGAAGTTTAGTTGACTGGACTATAATTTTGCAGATCTTTCTCTTTAAAGATAGCTGCTGCATTTGCTCCTCCATCCTCATAGATAAGTACTAACATCTTTAAGACTGTTCCACATAGTGTGAAAGCATCTAACTCATCTAAATACAGTACTTATCTTCCCTCGCCTAGGCTGAAATCTTCAGTGTTGCCAGAGATTCTCTCAGACAACAGACCCAGACCCCAAATGCGTGCTTGTTTCTGAAAGCTGCAGTCTGGATGTGATGTGGGTATAATGGATGGGCAGAGAGTCCATTTCTGCAGTGTTCAGAGGAGGCCAGCCCTCCTAGTGGGATGTTTCCCTAGGAGAAGATATTATAAAAGTAGATATTCTGGCTTGGGAATTGCCCGGTCCTTAGAGAAATTTTTTTAAGATGGCCAGTGCTTGCACGACTCTGAAATCTGAAAGCCTTTCAGTCAGCTTCTCAACTATTATCCCTTTGATAAAGAGCCAGTTATGTTTTTTAAAATGCGCTTGATCAAAAAAAAAAAAACCCTTGAGATAATAAAATGCTTTTGTTTATTGATCCCTAAGGAAGTCAGAATAGGCTAAAACTGGCCAGATAAATAATTGTCTTTATTATCAAAGGGTAAATCAAAGTTTCTTGCTTCATTTTCTGTTTCATCATTCCACGTGGAAGACAGAAAAAGAATTTTTCCATTCTTAAACAGACTGTAACAGGAATACTGCCATGAAAATAGTTCATACGTATTCCACAGAATGGGAACAGGTACCTTGATCTACAATTTGTTGTCTACTTAGCATCGGTCATTTCTGTGTCCTGGGAGCATAATACATATAATTTGACCGTTGCTAATGAATGTAGCTCTTTTTCTGAAGTCATTTGTTTAGTAAGATATCAAAAGAGAAAAACTCATACTCCTTAGCAATCAAGAAATAGATTTGAATTGCTGACTTCAAGCAAGACATTATCTTTTCCCCTTCTAGAAAATGCAGGTAACAGCTCTTGCTGAAAAGTGAAGCCTTTTAGGATATTTTTATGATATTTTTTTATCACTACCGTGGATCAACATAAAATAAAGGTATCATAAGTAGCGGTCACCAGAGTACATCAGATCTGTATTACTGTATTCTTATGCTCTGAAAGGGCTTTACTGGACTACCAGAATCCAATTCAGAACCATAAGGTCCATTGTGTACCTTCATTCTGTAGAGAGACTGCCCTTGGATTTTCTGGGAGTTTTATGTGAAAATCAGTACCAGAGAATGTTCCCAGTTTTCAATCCCACATGAAAGCATATTATAGGCAGAATGGATTCATGGTTCTTTCTTTTCTCCTAGTGAACAACCAAAGACTATACTCTTGTAAATTTGTAAGAAAAAATTTTAGACAATCAGATTCATGTATCACAGTGTATCATTTGCATTTACCATACCCACTAGACTTTTTAGGTGTGTCTTACTGGACACAGTCTTGATGTGAGTGGGGATCAGAAGTTTCCCTGTGAGTTTTAGTCAAGGATAATTCATCCATTGAGAAATAAGTTTTCATCCCTTTTGTTTGTTTGCTAGATCTGATGTCATGAAAGGAATTATTAGTTTCCATAGGAAAGGGATTTTGCCCGAGTTTATGTCCTCTTCCCCATTCCCACTCTTCTTGGCCCTGGTCCTGCAGTATGAAAGGACATCTCTGATTTATATGAGAATCTATGTAGGGAAGGAAAGTCTAACTTAATGAGGCAGAAAAAAGGTAAGCTCATATATTTAATAAATCAGAATGCTGAGGTGGAGGTCATAGTTCTCATCACCTATTTAAAAAAACTGTATTTAGCTTATAATTAGATTAAGTATCCAGCTAAACTGAGTAAAAATTGAAAGACAACATTCAAAACAGCTCCGACTGCTCCTGCTGTAACTCTGTCACCCAAACAAAGCCCATGGTGTTTGGTACTCCTGTATGATTTGTTCCCCAGAAGCAGATGGGTGAGATGGTGCGCTGAAGGTGTTCTATTCCTGTTTCACTTTCTAAATGCCTATTTTTACGTTTTAACATATAGCTCCATCAGCCCTCCCAGACGCAAGTGGGACAAGCAGCCTCACAATCCAATCTCCTGCATTTGGCTCACAGTCAAGCATCTATGTCTCAAAGCCCAGTGCGTCAGGCTTCCTCTTCTTCCTCCTCATCCTCCTCCTCTTCAGCTTTGAGTGTTGGCCAGTTAGTCAGCAGTAAGTATTGCTCCTTGGCTCTCCTTAATTCTCCCCTCCGTTTATCCTCCTCACTGCTGAGTTTCCTGATCTGCTTTCCCTCCTTTTGTTTTTTTAGTTGTGGATGGGGCTTAAGGTAAACACGCTTTGAGAAATTGTAATAGATGCTGAAAATGGTCATAGAAATGGTAGCAGCCATTAATTGACTCATGAAGGCAATTCTGATAACTGAAATGTAGTTTATATTTTTTTTGAAATTCGAATTTTTTGAATTAGTCAATATAATGAGTTACATTTCTCAGAATTTGGTGGGCAAACAGATCCTCCTCCTTTTGGTTAAGCTGCTTGTTTTTTTGCATAGTTGATCTAGCGAACTATTTTACAAAGCCTCGTGCCACACAAATCTAGAGTAGAGGCTTTTCTGGCCAGGAAAAGCTTGCACAGCTTAAACAAGGATGAAGTGGGACGTGTGGGGGAGAAGAAAGAAGCATGCTGCAGTGAAACTGAGTTTTAGTGTTAGCTGATCTGAACAGCCCTTCCTGCAGATCACAGAGATCGGGGTCTTTGCTATTAACTTACCAGCCCTAACTTTGGTCTTTACAAAACAAAAACAAAGCGTTGAGAGTATATATATGAAGCATTAACATCTGCAAAAATCCAAGTGATTTGGATGACCTTGTTCAGTGATGCTTCACATACATGCTTCAAGTAAACAAACACTATAGCTCATGCCATATTGTTAATGCAAAATATCTGATTGATCCAAGCTTATGAAGGGCTTGGAGAAACTGTCATACAAGAAAATATATGAAGAAAATCTTGGTTAGATTATTTCAGAGATTGTTTACATGGGGAAGTATCTAGTAGAGCTATAGTGGTAAAATTATGCTGATATGACTCCCAGTGTGAATACTTGAGTAAAATACCTGATGTGGAATAAGTTACTTCAATGGCTAGTCCAGAATAGCTCCTCTTGTGGACATTCTTGTTTAAAATAAAAGCAACATGGAAAAAACCCTTTTAAGTTTGCAGAATAAGCCCATCAAAATTTAGGAGATGCTAGAAAAAATAATTATTTGTTCAATTGTACACAATTCCTCTTGGAACATGTATTTTACTGTAACAAGATTTTGTTGTGATTAAAATCATGCAATCATGAATTTTTTTCTCATCCTACTTTCAGTGCATTCCCAACGCAATTGTCTTAGGGACGCATCAGAATTACCAATGCAGCAGGTGGGCTGTTGTCCCATGGTTTGTTCCTTACCTGATTCACTAAACTGTTCCCCAGTTAGCATAACATTTGAGGCAGGGAGTTGTAGAAGGGTGAAGGATGGTCTTGCCTCAGGCAGTAGTGGCCTAAGGAGCCGAAGCTTTCTTGTCTGCTATGTAATTCCAGTGCAATGGCAGGCAAATCACTTAAAAGAGATTTTTCACAAGTGCTCCCTCAATATCCAGCTTGAGACTCTGGACTTTAATTTACAGAAGAACCTGGTACTCACAGTTGCAATTTTAAGTGCACTTTCACTGTGGAACTGTATCAAGAACCATTTAAAGACAGTCTAAAACACCATTTCCTACTTGACCTAGACTGAGTACCCAAAAATGCTTTTTCCCTTAATATCTGTCCACTTCTCTGTGAATGAGAAGGGGAAGACCCTCATCTTGTAGAAATGCAATAAAATAAATTAAGATTTAAAAAGAAACCAGAAGAGCTCAAGAGGAGATATCTTTAGTGGAGGGCTTTAATAGGGGTCTGAGGCCACACACTGAACAAGTAAAAAAGCAGTACATCAATCAGTTCAACTGTAATGAAGGACAATTCATCCTGTGCACTGGACACGGTACATGAAAATAAACTGGTAGTCCAGGGCTCAAAATCTGTGCTACACTGTGTTGTGGGCTGCTGTTACTCCAGAATTTTGTAACTTCCGAGTGCTTATTTCTGCAGCTCCAAAGATGTTCCTTTCCCTTTGTTTTTTTTCTTGGATAAATTTCAAGGTTATTAGAAAAGGAAAATAGCAATGTAAATCAGTCATATGGTGAGATAATGCTTATGTTTGTAACTGGAAGGAGGAGACCTTCTGTGGATGGATGGATGGAAAAGCTGATAGTTCTGTTATCATCTTGTTGGTCCTGCTCTAAAAGGAGTAAGACACAGGCTGTGCTTATGGATTTGGCTGAGAGCAGAGGAGTATGGGGCACAGGAATATCTATATATCAAGGGTTGGATTTGGTGATCTTGGAGCTCTTTTCCAACCCAGTTGATTCTATGACTGTATGACTCTATTTGGGCACAAGTGGGAGATATACAAATGAATTTTCACTTGATCCTCTCAGGGTTCACTCCATTCACTGCTTGTCCTTTCCCAGTCCCATTACTTCCTTACACTGTTCTTCATGCAATCTTTGCTCCCTCTGCCTCCATTTCCCTCTAGCCTTCTCCCTGCAGTTCTTTCACCACAGTCCATCATTGCCCAGCTTTTCTTCCCTTTTCACTTCCTCTCCAGCTCTCATTCAGTTGCTGTCCCCAGACCATATCTGTGCCCTGTTACCAGTCTTGTTATTAGGTAGTTTCTGTCCTCTATCTTATTTTATCACTGGTGCTACTTCTTTTTACCTATTTTCTTTCCTCTACCACAGTGATTACTACTCTCTGCACAGGCAGGCCCTCTCTCCCTCCCCTCCACTCCAGACTCAAATCCCTGCTCCTTAGTAGACTTCAGATTTGGCTTATTCCTTCCATCATTTCTTTTTCTTTAGACTAAAGGTAATTTTTGCCCTCTCTGCATCCAAATCACACTGATGCCACTCCCACACTCCCTAGAAGCCATCACAGGAGTGTGGGAAATGATCACCAAGAAGAGCAGCAAGTCAGTCTCTCTGTCTTTACTATTGTCCGGTCACAAAGCAGGCCAGAGCCACAACCATAAGAGACTTTCCGTCCTCTCAGACTGAGGAAGGTGTTGCACTTGGACATTAACTCACTGGGATTCAGAGTCTTAAGAGCATTCCAAAGGAAGACGTTATTGACTGGGATCTCCTGAAAAAAAAACCCCATAATAGATAATTATACGTCAATAAAAATTTCTGGAGTTGTTTTGAATTTATGCTTCCAGCTTCATCCAGTCTCTAACCACTCAAGACCACCAGAAGGAGTAGCGTGAGAGGCAGATCAACTCACTTCTGCCGTTCACACAGCATTCTCACCCAGACAGAAGTAAAGCAGCCATCTCAAGGATCCATAATGTCTGTCCTTGAAAGCACGAAGCCAAGCACAAACTGGAGCTAACACTGCCTGCCTAAGCCTGCTTGAGCTGCCACAGTGATGGTGATGGTGTTCCAGGGCACAGAAGAGCTATCTACTGCCTTTTAGTAATGTGGAAAGAGCCTACAAGAAAGAGGAAAATATGATCAGTTCAGTAAGAAAAGATCTAACATGAAAAGTCAGACAGGATCCTTTCATAGGTTTTTTTTGTTGCTAATAAACCAGTGATACTTTCTGGACAAAGAGTATTAAATGCTCTTCATGAAATTGAAAATTGTTTCACGTGACTGAAAATCCATTTACATACAACTGTGACTGCACATGGGGAAACAAACAGACAGAAAGTCATCCCTGTTTTGCTTCTTTGTGGAATCTGCTCAGCTTCTGGACACAGATCCCTAAAGGGCAGGAGTATCTCTTAGTCAAGGCTGTGGCCCATTATTAAACTTTAAAGCCTTTTGAGCTCCACAGCTCCCAGCCGGGCTGCAGAGCTTTGTATACCAGGCCTGCGATTCAAAAGCAGTGTCTAAAAGTCCACTCAAAGTCCTTTAGTGTGATGAGGTGGGCAATGGGTCAGTGGTTCTGAAAGAAATTCATAGGCATGAGGGCAGCAAGAAACAACTTGTGGCCTTCTCTGATTGTTTTATCCCTCCTGAGGCAGGAATATCGTTGCTTCCTTCTCCTCATTCCTTCCAAAACTGCAGTCCAGACCTCCAGCAGAGATCCTAGAGCTGAGTACCTTGGCAGAGATTTTCCAGAAATTCCAGAAATTGTTGCCAAATATAGCAAAGTTCATGTAAAGCTAGGCACATTCAGCCAGCTTGTTTAGTTAATCGAAGTGCACAGAGCAACATAACTTCAGTAAATAATTATTTGGGGCAAGCTTTTGCAGTTAGTGTAAAGAGAGTAACTCTTTTACAAGAGGTTGCCTCATTTCAGAGAAAAGTACACAAGAAAGTATTAAGAACTGGTCTTTAATAACTCTAGTGTTCCATGTTCCTTGGTTTTATTCCTTTTGCTTTTCATTCTAGTAATATTTTCTTTATTATTTTGTATTTTTTCTTTAACATCTGTCTGAATTTTAAGAAGGTGCATTTCCTTACTTTTTGTTTTTAATTTCCCTTTCTCTTTTTAATTCCTGTCCCTGTTTTTCCCCTGGACTGTGGTCTTCTTTATAGCTTTTCCCTTTTATCTCATCATCACCCCTTCATCCCTAACCAGCAACAAGTGCTAGTTATTTTAAAGACAAAAAAAAAATATTTCTAAATAAAGGATGTTTAAAAAGAAGTTCTGCCTAAGCAAGATGAATCTATTCAAGGTTCCTCTCTACTCTTCCTGTTCCTTCTTTATGATTTCTTCATATTGTCTCATCCTGTCTCTGTTATCTTTTGTCTTCTTTGTTGTCTCTTCTTTCAACTCTACATCGTTATTCCTCCCTTTTTAAATTTCATTTTCCTATTTTGAAATGCATCCCTCTGCTCATTTCTTTAACTTTTCCACCATATGTTCTCTTTGTGGAAATCACTGGTTTCCCCTCGTTCTGAGACCTGTGTTTCCATGAAGTTGCTTTCTTCCTTCCAAATTCATTTTGCTGTCATCTGTTACTATAAAATTAAAATGCCTCCCATAAACAAATTATTCTTCTTTTTTTTCCCCTGAGCTCCAGTCCATTTTCCATTATCAGTGTTTTGTCCTGCCTTTCTTATCCAATTTACTTTCCATTGGACCTCCTCTGCCAGCTATTTCTCCTCCTGTCTGACTGGGGAAATCATCCCCCAGTAATCCCTCCCGTGGCAGAACCCAGTGCAACAGAAATTTGCTTTCTCCTTCAGGGTGCACTGATTTCTCTGTAGCAGCTCTTTCCCCTAACTATTAAAATCACAGCATATTTTCACTCACCAACAAACTCATGTGGGATTTTCAGAAGAATTCAAAATTGGGAGAAGTATTCCCTTCAGTAGAAAAAAAAAAGGGATTTCAATGCAGGAGAGGCTGTGGATTTTATTTCTTCAGCTCTCCTCATCTACCTTCGCCATCCACCAGGACAACTGGTGGAATTTTATCCGTCTTCCTTTTTGTTATGAGATATGTAAACACACCCCCTGAAATGGTCCCAGACAACTCTCTTACCTTTCTCCAGCACCCAAAAGTTTCATAGACACAAGAGCCCATTGTTTCCTCATGCAATAATGTAAACTTGGAGTCTTGAAATGCTGTTACTGTAGATTCCAGCCACTCCATAGAACGGGTATTCTCTATTTTCCTGTTGGTACTGGACTGCCTTCCCTGGAATATTCACTCAATTTAAGAAGCAACTGTTTATTTACTGTCTTCAATAAGCCACTCTTCCTAAAATAGCTCAGAATGTACTAAAACAAAGCACATTTTCTATTGGAATATATTTATGTACATGCATACATTAGGTTCACAGAGTCCAAGACTAAGTACTGATGGTGTTTTAATGGCAATAGAGTAAAACAGACCTATGCTGTTATATGATAATGTCAATAGAGTGGTCTTCATAGCACTATTTGTGTTTTATGGAGGTGATTACTTCATAAATCTGAGCGGCCACTGTCATAGCACTGACTACTTAAAGCAAATGGTATGCACCCTAGCCTTACACTGAATGAGTGCATGGGTGTACAGGTGAGCTCAAGCACAGCAGAGAGTACAGGAGAGATGATTCTGAGCGTGGAGCATTGTCAAAACTAGGTTTAGCCTATGGTCCCTGTTTACCTGTGGTCCCTGGTTGCATACAGAAGAATTTTCAAAATACTATTGCTGTGTGTGTTTCTTACACTCAAGAAATGTATAGGCTGAATTTGTATATCAGAAAACCCTATTCCCTCTGTCTATTATTAGACAAAAAGATTTTTGTTTGTAGGATGTTTCCATCACAAGGAAATTTTACAACAGGCTTATAAACCCCTGAAAATAAAACCTTTGTTACTGTAATGCTGATGAATCCTCCGCTATGTCTACACTAGCAGGAGCCACTCTTATATAGGGTTTAGATTAGTAATGTAGTCTAGCGCTGCCCTTGGACAACTGCTTGCATTTACAGAAATTGAGGGGTTATTGTGCTGCAAACTTTTCCCCTCGAAGTCTGAGGAATGAGGTGAAGAACAATAAAGATGTCTCACCGGGAGAACGGCTTCACTACATGCAGGATTGCACAGCACTTTGAAATCTTCCACCGTCCCAGTCCCATGCTGTCTCTGACTTGGTGAACACTTTCATTTAGTCAGGGATCAGTAGCTTGGGAGGGGGGAGAAAGTTCCATTCTCCAGCTGTTGTGTCATTTCCCTTGATAAGTCCTAAATTGACTGAGTTATCCAGCTCCAAAGGAGCTTTCCTGTGGTAGACATGCTTTATTATGTGCCCTTTCAGGGACAAAGGCTTCTGTGTCAGTAAACTGCTATAGAGAGGAAGGACAGATTTATTCTCACAGCATCATAAGTATTATCTTCTGAGGGGCTAATGTAAAAGTAAAAAACTGTGCAGCATTACCATCCAAATCCAGTGTTGCTGCTCCTTGATTATCAAGCTGATGGGAGGCAGAATGAAAAGCTTGAAGGGCTGCTTCTCAGAAGGGCATATTTTAAAAGATGATTTTTAAATCAAGTGGGTTTTAAAGGCAGCATTTTGATTTGATGGTTTGTTCATTTGCTTGGTTATTTTGGATGTTCAGCTGGCAGTTTGTGTTGGGTATTTTGGAAAAGGGAAGAAATGGTTGCGAAACTCCTTATTTATCGTTAATTTCATACAAGGCAGAAAGTCTTGATTTTCAAGTTAAAAATCCAAGCAGTTCATAACATATATTTAAGCCCTCCCCACAAACTGGAAATAAATATATTGACACCAGCCTTCTTTTTCTATGTGATAAGAAGGGAAAACAGGGAACATGACTCCTCAACCCAGGGAAGATTTTGCATGGTTTAACTGGCAGTGAAGAGCCCAGGCACCCCCTCACTCTGAGGTGGGCTGGCCATTTTCAGAAGTTCAGTTACAACACGTTCTTGAAAAACTTCCACCAGCACCTGCAAACGACGCAGCCTAGTTAGCATTTTAGCAATCTGAACGGGCTTCATAACACACCTGACAGGGCAAGTCTGTTTCTGCTTGGGGAAGAAGAGAAAGGGATGAGTATTAAAAAAATTGAACATCTTGACAATGAAAGCTGGTGTAAGCCTATCCTGCTGATACGTGATGCAAAGAACTGACATGATTAAAAAAATATCTCAACAGATCCTCAAACAGCCACTGGAGAGGTCGATGGGGTTAACCTGGAAGAAATCCGAGAATTTGCCAAAGCCTTTAAAATCCGGCGCCTTTCCCTTGGCCTGACACAGACTCAAGTTGGCCAAGCCCTAAGCGCCACCGAAGGCCCAGCCTATAGCCAGTCTGCCATCTGCAGGTAACAAGTTACATCATAAACTCTCCTCTCCTCCCTTTGTTCGTAATAATTATTCAGCTTATTGCGAGGAGCATGCTTGTGTTTGAGTCTCCTGTCTTTACAGTTTATTATTTAATCTGAGATTTAAATTAGCCAGTAACGTTAACTGACAGATTAAATGTTCCTATTGTGCAACCCTAGAGTAACTTTGGTCTTTTATTTTTATCTCCTTCTCTTTTAAACAAGCGAGAAACAATGTTCCTGGCATTGAGACTTAATTCCGTAGATGAGCTGGAGACCCTGCTGATGCTAGATAAGCACCAGCTGACCCTCTTCATACTGTGCCATTTTCTACAGATAGGGTTACTGAACAAATATTTCATGGCTGCATCCCTGCTAAGTTAAAACCTATATTACTGTGGTTAGCACTTCACATAGAGGATGTTAATGATGATTTACCTAGGCAACATAGAAGGGGAAAAAATAGCCTTCCTGCTATCTTGCAAACCAGCAGCTATTCATCTTTTATCACCCAAACGTTTACTAAAAAAACCAGACAAACCCCTGCATGCAAAACAGAAGCAGAAATCTGTCCTAATCATAAGAAATCATAATACAGTCTTGACAGAGTTAAAGTAGAAGCAAACGCCTTATATGCATGTATGTGTGTTAAAGTAATCCCATGTTTATGCATGAGGTAACAAACACACTTAGGTAACAGCTTTTTCCTCCTGGGCAATGCCTTATAGTCCTTCTCCATCAGCGAAAGCCAAGAAACCAACTCTAAGCTCATTTAAGTGGATTTCGTTCTTGGTGATCCATGAAATGCTCTGTCTTTTTATCTGCTCTTTATACTTTTAATGTATTCCCTATAGAACGGAAGTGTACTTTTCCTGCAGTTAAAGACTAAGGTTATAAATAACATCAGTATGGGGTAGTGAGCTTGCAGCTCACATTTTGCTCAATGATTTTCCATAAAACCCATTGATTGTTGTTAAATACGAAAAGCTCCATAGGATCCTCTCACTTCTATGGTCTCCCCTACTGTTTTTTCTTATAAGATACCTCCCTGTAGAAAATAACCTTTATTCAGTCTATACAAGGATACTACTGCTGGGAAATTTGTTTCGAGGCTTGTATATCGTTACACCAAACATGTACCGCAGTATCAACACTAACAAGCAGTGCCAATGATATGAATGCTATTGTTCCCTATTACTTAGGTTTAATTTTACTTTTTTTTTTTCTCCTCCTTTGTGGTTAGTAGATAAAGAATGCCTAAAACGGGTGGAGTTTTAGCAACTGACAATTTTTTGTAGCCTTGAGTTGCTGTTTAATATACTATATTTTAAAGGGACACGCTGCAGTTTCCTTTGCTTTTGTTTAGTTTTCTGTCTTCTCATTTCATTCATCGTTTCTCACACCTTGAGAAAACGCTGGGGATGGTGAGACATTTTACAGA